AAAGGAAGTGGAATTTAACTTCCTTTACTTTAGGAAATGAGTTTGCTCAACTGTTTAGATCATTACCTGTAAGTTTTAACAAAGTAGATCTCACTTTTTCTTTTTTTTTTTTGAATCATATTTGAAGGGTATAAGAAGTGAAACAAATTTTATTTCATAAAATTTATTGGAAGCATTTATTAATATGTAATTTGCATAAGTCTTTTGCTCACATTTTTCTCTCACTTGTTACTATCTCTCCATTAGAATACCGACTTTGGAGTCCTTAAGCCTTGAGTTAATATCTCAATTCTGATGTTTAAAAATCTCAATTTTTAATTTTTTAGCTGCGTGATTTTGAGCAAATTCCTTCATAAGACTTTATTTATTCAAGTGTAAAGGGCTTAGGGAGAGCAAAGTTATGAGAAAAAACACACAGAAATGTCAACCAGTCTCCAGCACATGGTAGAAACTCAACACATTAGTCCTTTTGGATAAAAGCACCAGGAAAAAACTCCTTTTCTAGCCCAGAAGTTCTCAACCAAGGAGGCACATCAAAATCACATGAAGAACTTCAAAAAAATATTGATGTTCAATCCTCACATAATTTAATTGGTGTGGGGTGAAGACTGGATATGCTATTATTTTTTATAAACTCTCCAAGTGATTTTAACATGAATGCAAGGTTGAAAACTGATCTAGCTAGGGACAACTTTTTCATCTCTCTGAAATTCAAAGGCTGTGTGTTTGTGTGTGTGTGTGTGTATGTGTGTCTAGCACACAAAGCAAAATGTGAAAACATGAGATCTATTACGAGAAAAACAACTGCAGGCCATAACTGACACTGAGGAGTGCTGGCAACACACTTGGCTGACTTCTTAGATTCTGTTTTCAATGTCAAATCCACACTGGTTATATAACATTGGGGCTAAAGGTTTTACATAACAAATCCCTTTGAATTTATAAAACCCAGATTGTTGATTTTATAAAAATATTTATTTCATTTCTTTAAAAATTATTTCTATAGCAATTTCTTTACAAGATAGCTTTTTTATAAAGCCCTGTTTACTTTATATCTTTGTTTTTTAAATCCCCCATTCATTTTGAGATTCTAAAAAGAACTCTATAAAAAAATTAATGTAAAATGAAAGAAGGCTAACACTATGATGGAAAGTGACAGTTTGGTAAATACTTAAGAATGTATATATATGGAGCAACTTCTATTTTAAATTTATTTTTTAAGTTTCATTGAGATAATTTTTTTTTTTTAATTTTTTTTTTTTTTCAACATTTATTTATTTTTGGGACAGAGAGAGACAGAGCATGAATGGGGGAGGGGCAGAGAGGGGGAGACACAGAATCGGAAACAGGCTCCAGGCTCCAAGCCATCAGCCCAGAGCCTGACGCGGGGCTTGAACTCACGGACCGCGAGATCGTGACCTGGCTGAAGTCGGACGCTTAACCGACTGCGCCACCCAGGCACCCCTCATTGAGATAATTTTTTAATTTAAATTTGTTAGCTGTTGTACTTTAGCTTCTTAGATTACATTACCCAAGTTATTAACCTTACTTCTCCAGATGACGTTACTGAGTTGTTAATAGAAGTCAGCTAATACTTCCTAGTAAGTTTTTATAAAATGTGAATAACTTATCCTTCTTTACTTTAGTAATAGTTTTAGAAATCTAAACTCATTAGCAGAGGATGAAAGGATATAGAAAGTATAGCATTCATATGAAAAAAGATACCATACATAAGTGTGCAGTATTATTTCTTCTGAAACAATCACTTAAAAAGCTCTTTGTATAGAGTATATTATGTGAAGTGCACAATCTCAGGAAAAAGATATACTGAGAATTAAGAACTGTAACAACGTATATGACATCAAAATGGTAATTTCCATTAAGATTTGAATACTAGACAGACTGTGCCAATTTTGTTTTTCTTCAACTGTCCTGCACACTCAAGAAGCATTCAGAAAGCTTTTAAAGAGGAAGTATACAAAAAGACAACTACTTTTGTAAATAAACATTATTATAAAAAGAACAAAACTAATTGAAGAAGATTTAGATGAGCTTACAACTTAGTTTTTAAATATTTTTTGTTCTTTCTAGATATGAGTTAATAATAGGCTTTTGGAACCTGTTACAAGGACTCCCAATACCTCTAGACATCATGAGGGATCTTTATTTCTACATCCAAAAGATTCTTCTGGAATCTTAAGGTATGGAGACAAAAGTCAGATCTCTAGCCCAATGTTGCTTTGTTTCTGATTATTTAGCGAGAAGAGAGGTGGAGATAGAATTTGCAAGAGGAAGAAGAAAGCACAAGGGTTAGGAAAATGGGAAATGGAGGTTCTGGTTATTCTGGTTTCAATTTCAGCAAATGATTAATGTTATTACATTTTTAATCTTAAAAGTCTTTAATTTCAAGTCTTTGGTACTGGTATGAAATTATCATCTGCATAGTCCCAGTATTCTTATATAACTAAAATTTATATCTTAAAAATTTTTTTTAATGTTTTATCTATTAGAGAGAGGGATAGAGAGGGAGGGAGAAGGAGGGAGAGGGAAGGAGAGAGGGAAAGAGGGAGAGGGAAGAGGGGAGAGGGGAGAGAGAGAGAGAGAGAGAGA